GATCCGCCAGACCTTCACGCTTCCGGACTCACCACAGCAAAATGGGATTGCTGAGCGCCGCATTGGCATGGTCATGGATGTCGCTCGTACGTCCATGATGCATGCGGCTGCCCCCCATTTTCTGTGGCCGTTTGCGGTGAGGTACGCGGCGCATCAGCTCAACCTTCACCCCCGGGTCTCTCGGCCTGCGATGTCCCCAGCCTTGCTGTGGACGGGGAAGGTTGGCGATGCGTCTGTGTTCCGTGTCTGGGGAACTCGGGCGTTTGTCCGCGACTTGTCTGCGGACAAGCTGTCCCCTCGTGCTGCTCCCTGTGTCTTCCTTGGCTTCCCCACTGACGCCCCAGGGTGGCAGTTTTACCACCCCTCCTCTCGTCGTGTTCTGTCCTCCCAGGACGTCACGTTCGACGAGTCAGTCCCCTTCTACCGTCTCTTCCCCTACCGCACTCCTTCCCTCCCCCCTCCCCCGGACTTCCTTGTGCCGGTTCCCCCCCCGGTAGACCCCCTCCCCCCTCAGGTTCCTGCCCCCTCAGGTGTGTCCCAGGTAGACGCCGTTGACCCGGTCGAGGTTACTGGTGACTCTGGTGCTGCTGCGGGTGCTGAGCCTGGGGGTGCTGACTCTGGGGGTGCTGTGCGCGGGGGTGCTGAGCCTGGGGGTGCTACTGCTGGGGGTGCTGGGCCTGAGGGTGCTACTGCGGAGGGAGCGGAGCCTGGGGGTGCTGAGCCGGGGGGTGCTGTGCCTGGAGGTGCTGGGTCTGGGGGTGCTGGGTCGGGAGCTGCTGAGCCTGGGGGTGCTGCGTCTGGAGCTGCTGAGCCCGGAGTTTCTCCTGCTGCTGCGTCTCGCCGGGAGCCCCTCTCTCCACAGGAGCTGCGCGAGTGGTTCGCTCGCCGCTGGAGGCGTGCTGCTGAGTCTGGAGGTGCTGCTGGAGCTGGAGCCGGAGCTTCTTCGACCGTCGAGGGTGCGGGTGCTGCCGGTCCCGGAGCTCCTGGACCTGCGGGTCCTCCTGGAGCTGGAGCTGCTGAGGGCGTCGGTGCTGAGCCTACTGCTGGTGGTCCTGCCGCTGGAGGTGTGGGTGGCGCTGGTGCTGTCGCTGAGGGTGCTGGTGCTGTCCCTGCTGCGTCTGGAGCTGCTGAGCCTGGGGTTTCTCCTGCTGCTGCGTCTCGCCGGGAGCCCCTCTCTCCACAGGAGCTGCGCGAGTGGTACGCTCGCCGCTGGAGGCGTGCTGCTGAGTCTGGAGGTGCTGCTGGAGCTGGAGCTGGAGCTTCTTCGACCGTCGAGGGTGCGGGTGCTGCCGGTTCCGGAGCTGCTGGACCTGCGGGTCCTCCTGGAGCTGGAGGTGCTGAGGGCGTTGGTGCTGAGCCTACTGCTGTTGGTCCTGCCGCTGGAGGTGTGGGTGGCGCTGGTGCTGTCGCTGCGGGTACTGGTGCTGTCCCTGCTGAGTCTGGAGCTGCCGCGCGGCCTCGGCCGTACTTCGTTCCGCTCCTACAGCAGGTTCTTGGTCTTTCTCCTTCGGTAGAGTGTCCACAGCCTGTCCAGTCGCAGTCACTGTTGGAGCCTTCCTCTCCTCTGCCTGCTCCCTCTCCTTACACTGGTCCTACTGGAGGTCTTGCTGAGCGTCGTGAGCCTGCGTCTCGTCCCGCGTCGCCTGTTCGTGCTGCTCGCGCTAGTGGTCGCGGTTCACGTCAGCGTCCTCCTCCTGTCCCTGGCACGCACCGGATGTCTCTGCGTCCGTCCACTGCTCCTCTGCGTGCCCCTTTGCCTTCTCCTCCTGAGTCCTCTCTTCCTGCGCTTGCCGACCCTGAGTCGGACTCTCTTCGCGCTGCCAGTCCTACTGTCACGCGTCTGCTTGCTACTCTCGTCACTGACCCCTCTTTTGAGTCCACTGCTGCGTCTGCTCTAGTCGCTGAGCTCGTTGACTTTGCTGCTCGCTGTCGTCTCGACTACGCTGCTGGTCTTGTTACTGAGTCTGCGTCTGTCTGTCCTCCGTCCGTCGGGGGTGAGTGTGCTCTTGGCACGGACGTCCTAGAGGACAGACAGGAGGAGTTACAGTGTCTAGCGGCTGCTTCACCTCATCTCGCGTCTGTACTGCTTGCCCCTGAGGGAGACCCGGATGCACTAGACATCCCGACTCCGCGTTCTTACGCGGAGGCCGTAGAGGGTCCCTACTCCTCTCAGTGGCAGGCAGCTATGGATGCAGAGATGGCTTCCTGGAAGTCCACAGGCACCTACGTTGACGCAGTTCCCCCTCCTGGGGCGAACATCGTCAGTGGCATGTGGATCTTCCGGGTGAAGCGGCCGCCGGGCTCTCCACCTGTCTTCAAGGCGCGGTACGTTGCTCGTGGCTTCAGTCAGCGGCAGGGAGTTGACTACTTTCAGACCTTCTCTCCCACCCCGAAGATGACCACTCTTCGGGTGCTGCTGCACATAGCCGCTCAGCGCGACTACGAGCTTCACTCTCTTGACTTCAGCACTGCGTTCCTGCAGGGTAGCCTGCACGAGGAGATCTGGCTGCGCCGTCCACCTGGCTTCACTGGGACTTTCCCTCTTGGCACCCAGTGGAGCCTCCGACGGCCAGTCTACGGTCTCCGCCAGGCACCACGTGAGTGGCACGACACACTGAGGACTACGCTTGCGGCTCTTGGGTTTGCTCCTTCTACTGCTGACCCGTCGCTGTTTCTGCGCACCGACACTTCACTGCCGCCGTTCTACATCCTCGTGTACGTCGACGACTTGGTCTTTGCCACAGCGGACACTGCTGGACTCGCCCACGTGAAGTCCGAACTGCTGAAGAGACACACGTGCACAGACCTGGGTGAACTGCGCAGCTACCTTGGCTTGCAGATCACTCGGGACAGAGCACGCCGCACCATTACCTTGACTCAGTCACACATGGTGCAGCAGGTCCTTCAGCGGTTCGGCTTCACGTACTCCTCGCCTCAGGCCACTCCTCTGCCTACTCGCCACTCACTCTCAGCTCTGCCTTCGGATGAGTCCGTAGAGTCGAGTGGTCCGTATGCAGAGCTTGTTGGCTGCCTCATGTACCTGATGACCTGCACACGACCTGACCTTGCATATCCTCTGAGCATTCTTGCACGCTATGTTGCTCCTGGGAGACACAGACCAGAGCACATGGCTGCAGCGAAGAGGGTATTGCGCTACCTGTGCAGTACGTCGGGCATGGGGCTTGTGCTTGGAGGGCGGAGTCCAGTGGTCCTTACCGGCCACGCGGACGCTTCTTGGGCTGACGACCAGGCTACGCAGCGGTCGTCACAGGGTTACACCTTCAGCCTTGGTTCCGGCTCTGTCTCGTGGCGGTCTACTCGCTCGTCTTCAGTTCTCGGCTCCAGTTGTGAGGCTGAGATCTACGCCGGGGCCATGGCTGCACAGGAGCTTCGCTGGCTCACCTACCTGCTGACTGACCTTGGAGAGCCGCCTCGTTCTCCTCCAGTGCTGTACGTAGACAACAAGGCCATGCTGGCCTTGTGTCGAGAGCAGCGCTTGGAGCACAGAACGAAGCACATTGCTCTCCGCTACTTCCTTGCTCGTGAGCTGCAGCAGCGTGGTCAGTTGCGACTTGCGTACGTGGCCTCTGAGGCCAACACTGCTGATGTGTTCACCAAGGCACTCGCGCCTTGTGATCATCAGCGCTTTTGCACCCAGCTGGGTCTTGTGTCTGTCTTGCCTCACTTGCTCTCCTCTTGACTTTACTTGTACTGTGACATATATATATACCTGCTCTTGCTTGTCTAGTTTTATATATATGTCTGTACTCCTGCATGTGAACTGGCCTCTGGCCCTGCTCTTGTGCTCGGACTGTGTGGTGACTTTGTGATCCACCCTGAGCTTGCTTTGCTTTGCTTGACTGGTCTTGTGACCCCTTGTTCTCCCCCACTTTGCCTATGGGGGTGTGTCAAACATTATATATGTTATGCTTGTGTAGGCTACAGTGGGTTAGCCTATAGGGGGTACACAATTCTAGGGTTTCCTACTTGTACTCATTTCACTGCTAGTTCATCCATTCCCTGTTCGCTTATTCTCACACTGCTCAATGTCGAGTTGTCAGAATATATTTGCTGTCTAGCCTACAGTGGGGTACTCTGTAATGAGTACAACCCAATTTAGGGCATTGTACTTGTATCCCAAGTCTTCCTAGTGAAACCCCTTCTCTTTCAAAAATCTCTCGATACCTTCCTCCTCACCCTAAAAAACTTGATTACCTAGGCACCTAAACCATGGCTTCTAAGCCTACCTTTGTTTAAGATTCTAAGACGAGTCAGTTGTATGTCGCGCTGCATTTGTAAGGTCAAAGGTCGCTGACCTTTGACTTTCTCGTAACCTCTAGCGGTTACATCAACCTCCGAGGGTTGACTCGCTGGTGCTTCGATTTGCGCTGCTTCTCTTGTGTCTTGAGGTTTCGACACGACAGAGGCGCTTAGGACTACCGTATTTGTTCCCAACATACCCCACTACAGCCTACACAATGAGCAACATATAAGTTTGACACTTATCTCGTACACTACTCAAAATGCTTGGGTTATCTTGAATTTGGGACGGTTTAGGGTGTCTTGTAAGTCTTATAAATGGACCAAGAACGATTTAGAAGATACCCCCTCGCTGTACAATTGCCCCTAACCCCTACACTGGCTTAACTCACACACATTATTAGGTGTCTTGTAATGAGGCTAGCTTGTTTATAAGAGACACCCAGATAATAGACAACCCCTGTCTACTATTCAGCACTGTCTTCTATCCGAGCGATGACGGTAGTGCTTGTCCCTGGTATTGTAGTGCTTATAGTACAGGTACCGTAAGTCATATTGTAACAATCAGGATAGCATTGGGGCCAAGGAACCTTCTGAGTTCAGGTTGTTCACAATGCTGCACCAGCCCGAATTGGAAAATAATGCTTAAAATATGATCACATCAATCTTGTCAGATGTTGACGTCCCTGTTGTCACAGACACACTGTCACGGTTATTGAAACCAGAAGCCATCATCATACCTAAAAGAACTGCTTGGTGATACCAGTACTGGCCGATGAGATCCTGTGTTGTGATAAATTGTTGAGCCCAAAGTCCAATTCCGGCTGCCCTATGGACTCGTTCCCTCCCAACCCTAACCCTGGTTCACTCATCTGGTTAAAATGACTGGTCCCATCGCTAGAAACCAGGCGGTTACCATGAGAAGGCCCCATGTTTCCTGCACGCGCTGCAGCCTGTTCAAATTTAACACCAGCGGCTGACACACCCATGGAAGCAGCAGCAGCAGCAGCAGCAGCAGCAGCAGAGGACAGCACACCTCTTGCAGCAAGTGCTGTGGCAGCGGCAGAACCAGGCACACGAGGGGAAGATGAGGATGCAGCCAAGGGTAGCTCCCTGCCCTGCGTGTTGCTGCCCAGCCCGTGAAGCCTGCCTCCTCCCCTGCCCTCTCCAAACACGCCCTCTGCTGGAAAGAACCCCCCCCCTTGCAAACTGGCACTTCCAGACTGACCCGACACTGCCATACCCCCTGCCATGTTGCCTCCCATGCCTCCTGTCATGCCGCCTGTCATGCCGCCTGCCATGCCTCCTGCCATGCCTCCTCCCAAACCCCCTGTCATGCCTCCTGCCATGCCTCCTCCCAAACCCCCTGTCATGCCTCCTGCCATGCCCCCTGCCGTACCCCCTGCCATGCCCCCTGCCATGCCTCCTGCCATGCCCCCTGCCATAACCCCTGCCATGCCCCCTGCCATGCTGCCTGTCATGCCTGTCTGGCTGGAAATGCCCACACCATGGCTTGGCCTAGAAAGGCTAATGCCGCCACCACCAACGCCGCCAGTACCGCCAACGCCGCTGCTGCCGCCGCTGCTGCCCCTGCTGCCAGCGATGGCTTCAAACTGCCCCGTGTTCAGGTTGAGACCATGCGCACCCGCACCAGGGCGGCTTCCTGTCACAAAGTCAGGGCGCGAGGGAGCAGCAGCCATGGAGCGAGGCACAGGTTGACGAGCGCCAGCAGGTGCTGCCACATGCGGACTCAGACTGGCCGCAGCGGTACCAGCAGCTGGAGCAGCAGCGGCCACAGCAGCAGCCAAGGAGGAGGCAGCCAGAGACGCAGCAGCTGCAGCAGCAATATTCCCCCCCCCAACAGGACCCGGTTTCATCATTCCAGACTGTGGCAGGAGCTGGTGGGGAGGCTGTCTCAGGTCACTGGAGACATGAGAGATTGATCTGCTCCTCTCAAAGCCGCCACTCACAGCAGTCAAGGCAGCGGGCAAGGCGGATTCCACAGAGATATCTCCCCGCATGGGAGCACCAACACCATGGTCCCCTGCATCTGCTGCTGCTGCTACCCAGAAGCTGCCCGCCCTACTGCCTGCTGCTGCACCTGCTGCCGCTGCTGTGGTGGCGGAGGAGGGGGTTGCACCTGTGGCTCCTGGCAAGGAGGATGGCGAGCGACCCACGGCTTTGCTTCTGGGTGCAAGACCAGCTGGCCCTATTGGCCCTGCTGCTTCTGCTGCTGCCCCTGCACCCGCCGCTGCTGCCGCCACCGCTGCTGCTGCTGCTGCTATTGCTGCCTGTGGGAACAGAGGCCATTCCTGACCAGCCAGCTGTTGACGCTGCTGCTGTTGCACCTGTTGTTGCTGGTTTTGCTGGTGCTGATGCTGCAGCAGGTGCTTCTGTGAGGGTTTCCGTTGCTGCTGCTGCTGCTGCTGCAGGTGGTGCTGTTGCTGCAGTGGGTGCTGCTGCTGGTGCTGTTGCTGGTGCTGTTGCTGGTGCTGGTGCTGGTGCTGCTGCTGCTGCTGCTGCTGCTGCTGCTGCTGCTGCTGCTGCTGCTGCTGCTGCTGCTGCTGCTGCTGCTGCTGCTGCTGCTGCTGCTGCTGCTGCTGCTGCTGCTGCTGCTGCTGCTGCTGCTGCTGTTGTTGCTGCTGCTGCTGTTGCTGCTGCTGCTGCCGTTGCCGTTGTTGCTGCTGTTGCGGCTGCTGTTGCTGCTGGTACTGATGTTGCTGCTGGTGTTGCTGTTGTTGCTGGTGCTGCTGTTGTTGCTGTTGCCGGTGCTGCTGCTGTTGTTGCTGTTGCTGCTGCTGCTGCTGCTGCTGCTGCTGCTGCTGCTGCTGCTGCTGCTGCTGCTGCTGCTGCTGCTGCTGCTGCTGCTGCTGCTGCTGCTGCTGCTGCTGCTGCTGCTGCTGCTGCTGCTGCTGCTGCTGCTGCTGCTGCTGCTGCTGCTGTTGTAGCTGCTGCTGCTGCTTCTGTTGTAGCTGCTGGTGCTGCTGGTGCTGCTGCTGCTGCTGCTGCTGCTGCCCCTGCACTGGCAGCTTGGACAGTGAAGACAACTGAGGAGCCAACTTCTGGAGTTGCTGCTGCTGCTGTGCCGGCAGCAGCTTCACATGAGCTGGTACACCCTGCTTATCCAGCCCGCCAACGCCCCTCTGCACCTCCCCTTGCTGACTCAACCCCACCACCTGCCCTTGCTGCTCCTTCTCTCCACTCTTCCTCCCAAACCCCACACCCCTCTCCCTCCTCACACCCTCCTCTCCACTCCTCCCACCCTCAACCCCCCCAATCGCACCAACCACCACACTCAACTCCCTCTCCGCCATCCCACCTACCCCTCCTTCCCCACCAGCAGCGCCCTCCCCAGCCACACCCTCCCCGGCAACCCCATCCGCACCACCGGCAACCGCATCCCCAGCGTCGCCGTCTCCCCCTGCGCCGCCCTTCTTGCGGCCCCACTGGCGCGTGGAGACGGTGCCGTCGGGCAGGAAGTCGTGCGCCACGCGGTGGCGGTGCAGGTAGCGCCACATCTTGCGGTCCGCCAGGTACTTCACACACGGGTCGCGCTCGTAGTGCAACCGGTCCATGGCGCCACTCACTATCTGGTTCACCTGGAAGGGGGGGAGGGGTTGGGGGAGAGGGGAAGGGGGGAGCAGGGGAAGTGGGGAGCAGGGGAAGGGGGGAGCAGGGGAAGTGGGGAGCAGGGGAAGGGGGGAGCAGGGGAAGTGGGGAGCAGGGGAAGGGGGGAGCAGGGGAAGTGGGGAGCAGGAGGGAAGGAGCAAGGGAGAGTTTGGTGACGAATGGCAAGGTTGGGGAGAGGAGGGGGTTTGAAGGGGGGATAGGGAGGATGGCAGCGGTGGCGGTGCAGGTAGCGCCACATCTTTCGGTCTGCTAGGTACTTCACACACGGGTCGCGCTCGTAATGTAAGCGATCCATGACGCCATGGCGCCACTCACTATCTGGTTCACCTGAGGAGGGGAGGGGGGGGGGGGAGGGGAGGGTGGGACAGGAGGAGGGGGGAACATGTGGGGGCGAAAAAGGGGGAGGGAGGAGAGGTAAGGAAACAGCGATGCTGACAAGGAGCCATGGAAAGACGATTCAGACTAGACAGCTCACATACTCCTGTGGGGGTAGCAGGAACACGAGCATGAGCGTGAATGCCTGCCTGCCTGCCTGCCTGCCTGCCTGCCTGCGCCACACACGCCCTACCTGTGCCTCAGGGGACTCCGCCACAAAATACTGCGAGTCCCGCAGCAGCGTGCACACGTCCGCGCGCGTGCCAATCCCGTTGGGCAGCCGCGCAGCAGCATCGCGCACGAGCGACAGGATGGTGACGTGCGGGGGGCGCTCGAGCTTGAGCATGGCGTGGTCGCGCGCCTTGGCCACGGCCTTGGCGCCATGCCGCACCACGGGCGCCACCATGGCCTTGCCGCCGTCCGTGGCCGTGTAGCGGAAGGCATGGCAGGGGATCTCGTACCGCAGCCGCTCCTCGCACTGGAACAGCGCTCTCATGTGCGCCGATGCAGGTGCGAGCGTCACCTGCGGAACGTGGGGAGGGGAGGGGGGGGAGGGTGGGGCGGTGCACGGGAGGCGCAGGGGGGAGGGGGAAAGGGGGAGGGAAAAGAAACGAGATGTGACGTGGAATGGATTGCACGCAAGAGGCGAGCAGAAGCCACACCGGCTATGCTACAAACCTGCCTATACACCCCACTCCACTCCACCCGTCCCTATATCCCGCCCGCCCGCACAGCCCACCCACCCCCACACTCCACCCGCCCCCACAGCTCACCTGGCTCTTGAGTTGGCTGAACGGGGCACGAGGCTCGTTGACCAGCGAGCGCGAGAGCGCGGGCAGGTGCGGCGAGTCGTCGCCGTCCCTGGGCGCCACGCGCGCGCCTTCCCCCCCGCCTCCTCCTGCTACGCCGCTCACCCCGCTATTCTCCTCCGCCTTCCCCGCCACCGCCCGCCCCTTCCCCTCCGCAGGCGCGGATGGCGCATCAACAGACGGAGCACCGGCACCCGCACCACCTGCACCGCCCGCGCCCGCAGCACCAGCAGCAGAGTCTTTCGCAGAGGTGGTGTCAGGGAGCGGGAGCGGCAGCGAGCCGGCATCCTGCAGCATCTTCACAAACCGTTCTTCCAGGCGACTAAGCCCCTTCTCCGCGATGCCCCAGCTCAGCGGGTCCGCGTTCACCGGTCGACTCGGGTCCATTGCGTCCGTCACCGCGCCGCACCACGCCCACTCCGACCCCTGCCGCCGCGATTGCACGAACGGCTTCCATAGCCGCGTGCCGGGCGGCGCCTTGGTTTGCAGCACCTTGAGCGCCGTGATTACCAGCTCGCCAAACCGCAGCGACAGGCGCAGCGCGCGCGGGTCGCCCGGGCGCTCGCGCACGCGCTGGACGATGTCGGCGGAGTGCATCCACGCGAACGACGCCTCGTCGCCGCAGATCCCGCCGCCCTCCCCGCGGCTCTGCATCAGCACGTCCCGCGCCGCCGCCAGCAGCGCGCGGATGGAGAATCCGATGTCCGCCGCCGCCCCCTCGGGCTGACTCGGCTGACTAGATTGACTCAGTTGACTGAGCTGACTCGCGTGATTGAACTCGCTTCCCGCCGCAACTTGCGCATCCAGCGGCTTTTCGTCAAACGTAGCTCTCTTCGCCGCGCGCCCGCTGTCGTCGCCACGTGAAGCCAAGGCAGCTTCGGCGTCCGGTTCGGGTTCCTTCCGCTTCGCACCGTCCGCCGCGAGCTGCGACTCCGACCCGCTCTTCGCGAGCCGCGCGCGGCCCGCCGCCGACAGCCCGCCCTGCGCCTTGACGTCGCGCCAGAGCTGCAGGCGCTGCGGGAGATCCGCGTCGGGCAGCTGCTGCCAGACGGCGCGCATGTCCCGCAGCCCGCGCGCCATGTCGTCGTGGTAACGGCGCACGTCGTGGTAGTGCTGCTTGCGCTGCAGCACGCGCACGCTGCGCGCGAGCAGCTCGACGGCGGGGTGGAACTTCCCCGCCGACAGCTTCCCCCAGAACGCCTGCACGGGGCTTCCGAAGTGGAACGCGGAGTTCTCGAACAGATGCTCGAGAAGTTCCGACGGATCCGCGCGCTCCGACGACGGCAGAAAGCGCGCGAGGCGCTCGCGATCATCGTCGTCGAGCACGTTGTACCACGTGTCGAGCGATAGGAGAGAGCTGGGGTCCTCTAGAGTGAATACCTCCGACGGAAGCTCAATCACCTGCGTGCCCACCAGACACGGCTCCGTCGCCGATGGCGATTCCGTAGCCGCCGCGTCAATCGCGGGAAGCGCGGGAGGTGCCATGATGATCTCTCCTTTTAATTCAGGGTTGCGCCGAGACGTTACGGCGTTAGCCATGGCGGTTGTTTTGGTTTCATTCAGAGTGCAGAAGGTAGTGGGATGACTGCTGTTGGGTTAGGAGACGTTAATCTGCAAAGAACCCTAAATAGTGGGCTCAGATGTACTGTGTTTAGGTCAGTGCGTGTCAGTTCAGTGTCTCGCCCTGGGTCAGACCTAGCTCCCAAACCTGGCTTGCCCTAGGCAGTTCCCTAACCAGGTCGTGACTCTCGGCTAGGTCCAAAACCGAAGCTTGACCTCTCGTTTGGCCCTTCTGTTTGGGATATGGTCTACGTGAGAGGGAAGTTAACAAACTTAAAACCTGTAAGGAAATTCCCTTTTCCTTACTTCGCGTCCCTGCTCAACGCGTACATCACTGTAGCACCTCAGTCAGCACCGTTACCACTCGCGACCATCGCATCATTCATCATCCCGCCCTTTTTCGCACATCGCATCTCGACCTCACGGCTCGGCTGGTAACCCGCGCTCCGAACCTACGCTTCGACACTTTTCCCAACCTCAGTCCCAGGCTCGTCGCGCGATCATTACCGTTACCACTGTAGTTTCGCTATATAATGTTCGCTCATGCCTTCGCTCATTTGTATTCTTGCTTCGATAGTGCAATTCTCGTTCGTTCACTCAATTGCACTCGTAACACTTGGTATTCAGAGCCTACGATCTCATCTCGGACCGCATCCACACCTTCGCTTCCCACTATCTCAATTTTTGGGGGGGGTAGACGTCTCTCAACGACACAGCACCGCCGCTCGTAGTGCTCTCTCGAAAGCACGCACGGCCACGACCGAGGCTCTCGCTGAGCTTGCCCGACACCCCCGCCATGGCCGATTTCAATCTCGCCACGTTGACGCAGGAGCAACTCGATCGTCTCGTGCGTCAATTGGAGGATTCGGCGCTCGAAATCGCGACTCTCACGGCGGAACGTGACTCCGCCCGTCAACAGTCAACGGTGAACGTACCACACGCACCAACCAATGCATCTGCACATTCGGAGGAGCCCATCGTCATCTCATCCGGCACACCAACGCAACACAACAGCACGGGACAGCGCTCAGGCGCAGCCAGTGACGGCACAACCCAACCGATGCCCGGCATGGGAGGGAACAGGAGCGCATTAAGCCCACGGGAGCCCCGAGAAGCCCGTCGGCACGTGGAGTTTGCGGCGACAAGTGGCGAGAACGCCATGATGGCCCCAATGCCACTCAAGCCGCAACGCCCGCCCTGCTTCGACCCAAGCCAACGCGGCGGCCCGACAGTTCAATCGTGGGTCTTCACGATGAATGTGTTTTTCGACGCCAACTACGTCGAGTCGGACGCCGCCAAGATCCGGTATGCGGTTTCACTACTCAGGGGCCCCGCCATGGACTGGTGGCGAGTCATTGTGACGTCGCCGCGCGCCTACGAGCCACCGTCGCACGAGGAAGGGCCCTCGGGTCCAGCTGTTACCTGGAGTTCGTTCTGCGAAACCGCCCAATACAGCACGTGGGATGCGTGGTGCGCAAGACTTCGGGCGCGCTTTGAGCCGATCGCGGCCTCGATTTCGGCGCGTTAGAAACTGCGCACTTGGCGCCAGCTCGGGTCAGTTCAAGACTACACCAGCGGGTTTCTCGCACTTTGCGAACAGGTCGGCTACATGCACGAGGCGGAGCGGGTGGACCGTTACGTCGGAGGACTGAAGCCGGACATCTCGCACGAAATAATGCTACGCGGGCTCTCGAATTTCAACGAGATCCTCGCGCTCGCCGAGAAAATCGATATCCTACGCCGACCGAGAACGGGGTCCTATTACGGACATCGTCCTCGGGGACCGACCGAGCACGCCACTGTACATGCCGTCGCAGCGAATGCAGCTGCCGCACCGTTTAGAGGGCGCTGCTTTGCTTGCAACCGGCCGGGCCATCGCAAGAGCGAATGTCCAGAGGAGCTGAGGCGTCGAGGAGCAGAGCAGGGGAGGGAGTCTCAGAGGCAGGGAAACGCCAGCAGTCAGTAGAAGTTGGGCCAACTACTGACGAGACTGCCTGCTCGCCCAACCACACCGACCCTCACCGAGTCACAGTACCGATTCACGCCATCGATCGGGCTCGGATGAATAAGGAGGGTACAGCGACGGATTGCCCGGTACTGATCTACGGGAAAATACAGGGAGCAGCAGTGAAGATCTTCATTGACGGAGGAGCAAGCCACAGCTTAGTTAATACCGCAACCGCACGAAAATTACAGTTAACGCTTAACCGATGTTTACCTGAGATAGATGCACGCTTAGTCGACGGCACGCCCCTGGCCATACGGGAGAAGGTGGAGCGCGTAAAAGTCCGCTGCGGGGGGAACTTCGGGTTTACACAGGAAATGCTCGCGACAACACTGGATGGGCACGACATTTTATTGGGACGTGATTGGCTGCGACGGTACAACCCACTGATCGACTGGACGACGGGGAGCTGCACAGTGCGAAGTAGTGGTAACTGGGTCGTTCTACCTCGCTGGCAGCCACCCGAATCTTCGACGGTCCAGGTCAACGCCATCACGATGAAACGGGCTGTCGCTGCTGGAGCTGACGTGTACGCAGTGGATATCGCACTCGTAGAAAAAAATGAGCAGCCGAGTGATTTGGAGAAACTACTGGCAGCTGTACCGACTGAACTACAGGCACTACTGAAACGGCTCCCGGGGATATTTCCGGATGATTTACCACAGGGACTGCCACCTCAGCGGGCGCACGACCATAGGATCGAGTTAGAACCGGGGGCACAGTCAACTGTACAGCGGCAATTTCGACTGACACAGCCCGAGCTCGACGAGTTAAGGAAGCAGTTAGATTACCTCTTAGAGAAGCAGTTTATCCGACCGAGCTCGTCACCGTTCGCCGCACCGATACTGTTCACACCGAAAAAAGACGGAGGGTTCCGTATGTGCATCGACTACCGAGCGCTTAACCGGGTAACAATCAAATCGCGATACCCCATCCCCCGCGCCGACGAACTGATTGACCAACTACGAACAACACGAGTCTTTTCGAAAATAGATTTACGGGGAGGATACCATCAGATTCGGGTCGAACCATCGGACTGCGCCAAAACAGCATTTAGGACTAGGTACGGATCATTCGAGTATACAGTAATGCCATTCGGGCTGACGAACGCGCCTGCGACATTTCAAATGACCATGCACGAGGCATTTCGACCACTTTTAGATAAATACGTGATAGTTTACCTGGACGATATTCTAGTTTACAGCCGGGATAAGCAGCAACACTTAGTGGATCTCGAAGCAGTTTTTAAGGTTTTGGAGGAACATCGGCTACTCACCAAGGGCTCCAAGTGCGAGTTTTTTCGGGACAGGCTAGAGTTTTTGGGTCACGTCATTTCGGAGGCTGGGGTTGAGATTGACCCAAAGAAGCTGGATACAGTAAAAGCGTGGCGCCCCCCGACGAACATCACGGAACTGCAAAGTTTTTTAGGTTTTGTTAATTACGTTCGACGGTTCGTGCCCGACATGGCACGTTTAACAGCCCCACTCACTGATTTACTGCGTAAGGGGGTCGCTTTTACGTGGGGGGAGAAAGAGCATGCTGCCTTCTCTGCCCTGAAAAACGTTCTCTGTTCACCACCCGTTCTACGCATCGCTGATCCCCACCGCCCTTTCGAAGTGGTTACCGACGCAAGTGACATCGCCATCGGAGCTGTACTGTTACAGGACTTCGGCGACGGCCTCCAACCCATCGCCTACGAATCACGCAAACTACATCCGCCTGAGCGAAATTACCCGATACACGACCGCGAAATGCTCGCGATCGTGCACGCATTCAAAGTGTGGCGCTGCTATTTGACCGGCGCAGACGTGACACTACGGACAGACCATCGATCTCTACAGTACCTCCGCGCACAGCCCCACCTCAACCCACGACAGATTCGATGGCTCGATTTCCTCGAGTCGAATTTTCACTATACGGTCACATACAAAAAGGGAGCCTCGAATATCGCCGACGCACTGACCCGCCCCACTGCCCAGATCCACGCGATACTACTCGCCCAGACCAGCCCGCTACTGACAGGCCTATTTACCCATGGATATCAAACAGACCCGTTCTTTACAGGAGGCAACTCACAGCAATTCGCAGCGGTAAAAGGAGTCTATTACGTAAAAGCTGGAATCGACCGCATCTGGGTACCAGGATACACGCTACTGCGGGAACTACTGTTACAGGAAGCACACGACGGAGTTACCTCGGGACATTTCGGGGTAGAAAAAACACGGCAGCAGCTGCAGCGGTATTACTACTGGCCAGAAATGTTGACCGATGTGCAACGACACGTGGCATCGTGTCCCACTTGCCAGCTCATGAAGTCAAGCAGGAAGCGGCCGGCGGGACAATTACAACCCATCCCGCCCCCAGAGCGTGCTTGGCAGCAGGTGACGATGGATTTCGTCACAGGGTTACCAGCTGGGGCAAGTGGGAATGACGCGATCCTAGTCGTCATCGATCGACTAACGAAGATGGCTCATTTCGCAGCAAGCAGGAAATCAATCACAGCCGAGGAAACCGCCCGACTCTTCATCACCACCGTCGTTCGACTGCACGGGATACCCGCATCGATCATCAGCGACAGGGACACGAAATTTACAAGCAACTTCTGGCGGAACCTGTGGCAGCAGTTCGGCACGCGCTTACAGTTCAGTTCATCCTATCACCCCGAAACCGACGGACAGACAGAACGGACAAATCAGACCATGGAGCAGCTGATTCGAGCCACGTGCGACGATCCGAATACGTGGGAACAGCAGCTGCCACTCATCGAGTTCGCATACAATAACGCACCATCAGCCACGACGCAACAGTCGCCGTTTTACTTGAATTACGGACAGGACCCAACAGTACCCATGACACCGAATCCCGACAACCCCGTCCCACGAGCACAACAGTTCGCCGAGATTCTACAAGCAGCACGGACCAGGGCAGCAGAAGCAATAAAAAAATCAAACATCATCGCTAAACGCAACTCCGA